GGGGGGTAGGAGAACACAGGCAGGGGGGAGGAGATAGAGTTAGTAACAATACAGTGACCAAGAGGCCTGATTTTAATCAGCACAGTGATGACTGGCACCCCAGAGCTGCTTCCTGAAATGGACAGAGCGGGAGGAAGGAAAGAGGGACTGCAAAAGATATAAAGCAACGTGGAATATTCCAAACCCCTATAACGAACACAGCCAGAAATCTCATTTTAGACCGTCGTCCAATACAGGCTACAACTGAAGCCCATCATGGTGGATTGCAAATTGAAGGGGGAACGGAAGGAGATCCATCATTTCTGCTGCTGGAAACCTGGCATCAAATGCCTCTCACAACAGGCAAGAGGACTCCATCCTCTAGCCATTAATGAGGGCAGCTCATCCCAGTAGATGTGCCTTCTACCCCTCCTCTCACTCGCCCACCCCGCCCCCCCATTGCTACATGGGCCCACACGAACATTGGGCAGCAGGCTCAACTGGAGAATAGCAGCTGGAGAATCACCCATTATGCCATTCGCCCTCACGGGATGGCGTCCACTGAGGGGTGGGGATGTCCATTGCCCGGGCCACTTCTGCTCTGGAACAAAGACACTTGGGCCTTCCTGGGGGAAAGCAGCCGGGGCCAGTTCCCAGCTGGGGCGTGAACAAAAAGCGGAGGTGTTCCGGCCTAAAGGAAAAGCTGACTGGAAAGACGTCCCGAAGGCAAGAACCTGCCTCGAATCCTGCACTGCTCCAAGCTTTATTGCTAAACAATGCTCGCCCCTTTCTATAGCCAGCAGAACAGAACCAGACTGGGAACAGTCCGCACTGGCAATCCAGAGGAGAAGCTCATTAGCAGTAAAGATGGTGTAACCTCTAAGGTGTAGTTCCTAGGAAGTACCTCTGGTGGGGAGAGGGCAGGAGCAGAGAAATCCATTCCTCCCCAGTAAACTTCCTACACGGCCCCACCCACTAGCAAAAGACAGGCCTTGTGAACAGCAGCGTTTACTGCTCAGTGCCTCAGAGCCTGGAATAGCAGGTGGCAGAGCCGGAGGGCAGCCTGCTGTGACGAGTGGTGGGGGACTGAGGACACCCCTTTACATGTATGCCTCCCAAAATACAGCAAGAACCCAATTCAGCAACTCCGTGCTTAGCAGAGGGTCTGTGCTGAGCGAGGGGGTGGGACACGGCCTGTTACCAACAGGGGAGATGGGCCAAGTGCACTGGCCGAGCCACTTGGGGATGGATCGTCAGAGAAAGTGGCTCAAGCCCCGTTAACTCTGCTTCCAACCACAAGCAGCCGGGAAGGGCAGGGAAGTGATGGAGCCTCCGGCTAATGGCTTTGCTCACGATTGCAGGTTTCTAAGGGCAACGCTGCAAACGAAGAACCATCGTCACCCCACCCAACCCCCAGTGCAAGCAGGCACATGGGGAAGAGATGGGAAATACGGCAGAGGCTGCTGTGGTTCCAGGGAAGCAGCAGGGTTAGACCGTCTGTAGTGAGGTTATAATCGATGAACGGTAACTGAAGCTAAAAGAGAGAGACTTTAGGTGGGGGAAAAAATACATCTCACAATGGAACTCAAGGTATCAGGGGCAAGTTACTCCTTGGGACAGAGTTCATCTGTCGTATTTACAGCCAGCCACTTTATAAAGGGAACAATGCAGCAGGATGTACTGTAGTAATGCCAATCCCACACATCAATCTGATCACCCTCCCGCCCCACGCCCACGGTGCTATGGCCCCCAGGGAGCAGACGGTCGGTAGGGTAAGGCCCAGTGTGGGCAGCACTAGGGGAAGAGAGGGTGTGAGTTATTCACTCTAGAACGTACCCCCTGGGGCTGCAGAGGCCTGGAACAAACGGACGGCAGCTAGCGGAAGCGATTTTCCATTCTGGTCACTGTATGTTAGCTGACGGAGGCGGCGTAGGCAAAGCAGCGTTCTGCCCTTCGAAAAGCCAGCCAGGGCTGGGCTCAGCTGCCGCGCTGATCTCAGCTCAGACGAGATTCTCTCTCTCTGAGCCCTGAATGCAAAGGGACTAGAAAAGGGGCGCCACGAATATGGTACATTTAAAGTCAAGCCATCAAAGCCCTTGCTATTCCTGTGCACTACTGGTTTAGAGTTACTATTCATAAATAAATATTGACAGTATATTGAGCGAGTATAGAAACAGATGGGGGGGGGGGTCTGTAAAAGAGGAGAGAGAGAGAGGAAGAGAAAGTGAACTGGGGGATTATTTTTTTTTAAAAAACACCCCAATTTCCGTGAAAACCAGTTTTTAAAAGCCCTATTTTCACCTATTGCTTTGATCTCGCTAAGTCAGTCCCCAGCTATAGGGATCAGTCGGCAGGGACCCCTGAACATTTTCCTATCCAGTAACAGCCAGTGCTACCACCACCCAGCTCCCGTTGGCAACCCTTGAGCCTTGCTTCGGATCAACACAATGGAGGTGCTCTGGCAGCTGAAGGGGTGACCCTGGAGGGAGCCAACTCCTGCCATCCTGCAGTCACCCAGAGGATGCAATGAGGAGCACTTGCTCGATGCCACAACCTAGCCAGCCAGAGTGTAGATCAGCCCCTATAACATCACCTGTCCCCCCCAACAAGTTAATAAGTCTAAGTTCCTCCTGTCCTGGACAGCTGTAAGTTGCTCTATGGCTTCACAGCCTTCCTCACAGTCCTGTCCACCTTCCTGCTGTATCACTGAAACGGACTGCCGCAGCAGGTGGTGATGGCAGCCTCGCTGTGCATGGAGCATAAGACACTTCTGGCTTCTTCACCTGTTGCCACCCAGGATCTACAGAGCCCTGCACTTGTTCAGAAGGATCTGGGCACAGCAGCAGAGAGTCTGGTGAAAGTCATCACCATCCCTCCTCCTCCTCTTCTGCCCAGTGTGGCTGTTTCTATTCACTGCGTTTCAGGGGCATGCCATACTCCCTTGCAGTGGGTTCTTGCTACGATCCCTTCTGGGAGACCCAATTCTCTCCCAACCAGCCTGTCTGCAACTCACATGCCAGCTACCAAACGTTTCCTGTTTCACACCCTTCTTACCCAACTCTTCTGTCTGTTTCCCACTGTCCAGCCACTGGGGGCAGCTGTTTGCTTCAGAAGACAGAGGCAGATGCTGTGCCACCCTTCAAATCTAAATCAGAAATAAAAGAGTTGTCTACCTTTAGCTTCATAGAAAAGATCATTTCAGATGTATCCACCGTGCCTCTGAACGCTTCTCCTAGAGAATAGAGTCTCTTTCTGGCTGTACTACTCAAAGCAGCCTTGCCACGTCTACAAGGCAACTACCGCATCACAGAGCATCTCTCTGGTGGAATCAAGAGGATCTCAGAGCTACTACCCGGCCATATGACCATTGCCAGCTGAGAGCCTGTACCCTGTAGCTGTGCCAGCAGCAGTCTCTACGTTCCATAGATACCAGCAAGTGCATAGGGGATCTGGAAGACGGCATGCTGCTGGGTACAGGTGAGCAGTGTTACGCTGAGTATTTATTGCACTGCTTCAAAGAGGCAGAGGAGGAACAGGAGAGCGAACGAGCACAAGTCATCGTTTCACTTTAGCATCTTCTTTGATTTTCCAGATCATCAGCTCCATGCAAGCGCTGGCGTCCTCGCTGGAGTCATGACCTTCCACTGGGAACGAGAGACACAAGTGCCACAGTTAGCCACAGCGGGACAGAAGGGACAGGCGTCCTAGGCCCGGCTCCTGGGCCCAGATTCTAGAGTACATTTGGGGTCCAGGTTCTATTAGAAGGTGGAGGGATTAACTCAGAGACACTTAATTGGGAGCTAGTGGCCTCAAAAGCCCCTGCAGTTACATCATGAGCATTGCTCTAGTTGCACTGGGAGGGGGGGGAAGGGGAGAAAGGGAGATTCCATGGTTCAAACAGAGAAACAAAGTTGTCGAGTGACAGCTGTTCTACGCTGAGCGTAGCCCATCCTTGGAGCACCTCGTTTCAGAGGGAGGCCTCAGGACAGTCTCCTGGAGGAGTCCAGAGCAAAACGCAGCAGAGACAGTTACACTCTTCAGGGGAAACTCTGAGCTGACAGATGCCAGCGGGAATTTCACACGCCCGAGAGCAGGGCAGAAGTACCAGGGGAGGTTATGTGGCTCACGCAGCTGAATTCCCCTGACATCTCAGCACCGCCATCGGCTCGCTAGACCCCTCTGCACAAGGAGCAGGCAACCGCTGACACTTGCCTTACAGAAACTGGATGTGGGGCCGGCAGACGCCTCAGAGGAGGAGCGTGCGCTGGAGCCTGCACCCGCCCCATCAGAATGGCCTGACTTTGGCACCAGAACAAGGCTCAGATTGAAGCATTCTGAGCCTGACAAAAGCGGAGGGGTGGAAAGGGCGGTTTAGGACCTGATCTCACCCCTGGCTCCTCAATTCTCCCCTGCCTGAAAGATCAAGCGAGAGCTCTGAAAAACGTCGTACTGCTCTGCCCTGCAAGGTTATTTATGTAGTGCTGAAAACATCCAGAGTGCTTAACAACAGCCAGGCCTGAGAGCAAGATCCCTGCTCAAAGGGATTTACAGTCTAGAGGCCCCGATGGCTCCCGGGCAGTTAGACAGACACGTGAACATGACTCACTAGCAGGCTCGCTACTTGGGCTTTCAGGAGAGGCGCTGCTGTGCTTTAGTGCGTGGGCTGGTCTCAGCGTGAACGGGGACATGACTTGCAGCTTCGAGACAGGGGAACAAAGAGGAAGGGTGGCTCAGGAGACGCGGGATCGAGTCCCAGCCCTGCTATAGACTGCCACTGGCCTTGGGCAAGTCACTTACTCTCTGTGCCTCGTTTCCCATCTGCAATGCAGGGACAATAACGTTTCCTTTCTCCCACCCTTTGTATCGTCTTGTAAGAGTGAAAGGTGTTTGGGGCAAGGACTGTCTGACTAGGAGTTTGCACTGCACCTAGCACGGTGAGGCCCCAATCTCCACTTGGTGGGGCACACGTGGTGGTAAGGGCAGAAGGGGAGAGAGGAGTGGAGGACCTCGCAGTGTAGGTGGAATTAGATGGGAAAGCAGCGTTCCCGTTTCCCCAGTCTCTGAAGTCTCACCGTTGTCCTGGATGATGCGCTTGAGGTAGTCGGCCATCAGCATCCGGAGTGCTCGTTTGTAAGGCAAACCCAGCCGGTGGGGAAAGACAACTGCAGTATCCACCACTGTGTTATGGATAAGCTGGGAGGGGTGGGGGAGAAAAACAGGGTGGTTTGTTTTCCCTCCTCGGAGCAGTCAGTGTATTAACTGAGATTAACCACACACCCCAGGTAAGACCTGGATCACCCTCAGATACGACCTTGATCGCCCTCAGATACGACCTTGATCGCCCTCAGATACAACCTCCACAACACTCCCACCAAACCAGTTCCACAGGCAGCTCTGCCTGAGGTGAACCGAAGTGTCCTGAACAGCACCTTCTACCAGCCCGGCCAAGGCACTAACTCCTCTCCACGGGCAAAGCTCCTTCTATCCAAGGATCAACTCAGCCATTAAAACTCCTCCGAGCAACAGGGCCGCTCGTCCGTTTAGCCTGGTGCCAGAGACGCTCCCATGCTTCTGGAGGAGTCTTTTCACAGCTTGTTACACCGTCAGAGCAGCTCCTGGGGAGGGGTCCTTTGACACAGAATGAGCTGTGCTTTGGGCCATACTTGGATTTAACCCATTACCCACCACACCTCTGCACAAGCAGACTCTTGCCTCTTTTAGAGACAGGTCCATTGGTTTCTAAGCTGGAGCTGGGGCTTTGGAAGGGAATCACTTATGAGAGTTTCAAATTAGCTTGAATGGTTCTGTTCCTGCTCTATCTGCAGATGGATTTAAAGAGGGCTGGATAATCTGAGCGCGTGTGTTGTTTG